CGAGCCGGGAAAAGCGCCTGGGCCAGGGCTGGGGCAGAGGGGTCGTGGAGATCTTTACGGTCTCGTTTGTCCCTTTGCCGGGTTCCTGTGGAGGGCAGCTCTACGCTGGAAAGCTGTCACTTGTCGTAACACGCGGTGCTCTGCATCCGTCGCGCAGCTCTTGCCAGCTGAAGTGCAAACAAACACCCTTTCGGAGGGGGTTTCCTCTCCCCCTGCTCGCTCCGGGACGGGAAGCGGGGTCTGCGTGCCAGCAGCATTGCTCAGATCCCTGGCTCCAGACCTGACCCCAGGTGAGGGAGGGACCCTCCGTGCCTGGCCTGAAGACAACCGCACTCAGTGACCGTGCATGGCCGGGGCTGGAGCATACCAGGAGCCGGGGGCAATCAAACACTCTCAGCTCCCAGGGTCTCACACGGAAATTTGGTAGCCGACCCCTCCTGACCAGGCTCAGGCAGAGCCTTGCCCCTGCCACACCGAGCCCTGCCACCACCACAGTCACCAGGAAACCTCCCACTGACCAGGTCCTCCTCCACTGCCTCCCCGGGGGCAGTAATCAGTGCTGTGCAAAAAACAGAAGGACCTGATGAACAAAACCAACGATCTCAACCTGTCGCAGCGTGCTGACAGAGCCCTGCTCTTTTTGCCTCTTCCCGAATCTGCTTTCCAATCCCGCGACGGAGGGAACCGCAGTAAATGTTCGACTGTTTGTGTAGCGGCTAGCTGCGCTGTGTTGCACGTAGCCAAAGAATCCAGGAAAGCAGCCAAAGACATAAATTAGGCCAACATGTGGCAAGCCTGACTGATAATATGATAATAACACTTACTTATCTACCCCTCAGGAGAGCTGCGTAGGTTAGTTAATGTTTATACAGCACTTTGAAAAGCATGTTCAGGAGATGTAAGTGATACTACATTAATTTTGCAGTTATATTTGTTTACTTTTCTAGAGTAGATGTATTCTGCACAGTTGGTATAGATCATCTCAGACACAGTTTTACCAGGTCCCCGTAGGAAGCTAGCTTGTCTGAGCGTTTCTTGTTCACTAAAAATTTCCCAAGACTGCTTAGCCGGCGAAATCCAGAGGCTGGCTTCAGAGGTGCTTTGTAACGGGAGCATAACAAGCAGCGGTGCACATCTGTTCTGAATAGTTGTTGTAGAAAACCTGCATAGACTTTTGGTGGTCGAAATGTTTTCTTTCCAAGTTATTTCTTGAGGAGCAGGAGTGGGGAACGCTGTCAGGCTCTGAAGGCTTAGCCTCTGCGAGTGCATACTATAGCTTAATTGCAACTATGACACTGTAGACAAAAGCTGAATAAACCACAAATAAAAGATTTATTGGATGCTTAACTGAAACAACCTTTGGACATAACAAAAATGCCAGGAAGCAGCCACAATAATTGGTGCACGAAGCTATGTACGACTGGCCCAGTGACAAGACATTATGCACCTCAGATGGTTTGGCGGCCCACGTCCAAGTCATCAGAGCCTTTTTCTTTTTTTTATGTTAAACTGTTATGGTTCATCAAATACAGCCTTGACCTACTGTTACCTTTATTAATAAAGAGGTGGAGAGCCCTTGATCAAACGTTCCTGCACCAAGAGGGTTACATTGCAGATGGTTTCATACGAAACCCCATGGTGATTTTATTTTTCTTTGACACTTTAACTGTGGATTTTTAAATCGACAAGTCTGCCAGAGGAACTTGAAAAAAACCCACAGAGCCTCAGCTGCAAGGCAGCTTGCCAGCACCATTTCAACCAAGGATTATTTCCCCCACCACCACCCTTACACACATCAGTGACAGCTGTCCCAAACTCCAGCGGTGCGTCGGTTCAACCCCGACCTTGGCAGCAGTTTGGGACTGTGGGGAGATTTGGGGTCAGGATGGAGGTGTGGGGAAGAGGGTGAAGATTTGAGGTTGTTGGTGGCAGGAGATATTCCGACCAGCTCTCGCAGCCCCGGCGCCCGATGTGCTGCCGGGTGAGCTGGGGCACAGCAATGCTGTCCGCCGCGGCCATCTCCTGGCCTCCTGCTGGCACACTGCTGTGGTCTCCCTGGTGTCGCCAGCAGCCCGTCTTTCTTGTGCTTTCCTCCCCTTCCCCAGGACCACCTGGATCCTCTCTGAGGCTCGGGCCAGGGGTGGCATGGCCGTGGTCACTGCCCCCAAAGCCTCAGCCCTGCTCTGGGTCCCTCAGGGCAGGTGGGCGAGGTGGAGGCGTCTCTCCTCCCATGCTCTGCTCTGCAGCTCTTGGTCGGGGTTTCCCAAGTGCAAGGAACCCCTGAGGGTGCTGGGGTTTGTTTTGCTGTTGTAGACGCACTGAGCTCCACGGAGGGGAGAGCCAAGCAGCTCTGGGGCTCGGCGGGTACCAGCAGCGTGTGGCCTTGGCAGGGTCAGCACCCCTGAAAAGCGTGCCGCGGGGCACATCCACTCCCGACGGGAGCCGGTGTCAACCCCCGCTCTCTGCCCTGCA